TGACTTTCTTTTCCTCAACAGGAGACAGCAAAGATCCAGCGGGCTGGGAAGTTACCCCAGTAAATCCTCCACAGCATCTCTGCAGAGATTCTGAACATGGAAATATCACTTAAGGGGGAAAAAAGATGAATCTTTTAAAAAAGGGAAAAAAAAGAAGAAAGAAAAAAAGTCATTCAACAGAGACAACTTCTACAGTTTTGCACAAGAGGAATCATCAAAGAGCCAAATGAAACCTTAGATCTGCACAAAACACCAGAGTAATCAATCCTGAAGTTTACAGGTAACCACTGAACAAGTGAGAGCAGCTCTTGGAGACCAAGTGATGTTAATGATGCAACAGTTGTAATAATTTTATAACACATCCTCAATATCTCAGTTCTCACAGCATAAAATATTGATCCTCCCAGATCCCAAAGAGCAAAGTGAATGCTGCAATGTTCTGGAACACAATTTCTTTCTCACCTACCTCGAGGTAAACATACCCTCAACCCAACCTCCAAGACTACTCACTGTACTCCCTACATGCCAGAACAACATGACAAGGAGTCAAGCCAAGAATCTCCAGCATCCAAATTCAGAGTTATCCTGAAACTACACAAACAGTCAAGCACTCCAGCACCCCAAGTGTTTTATGGACCTGATCACTCTGGGAGCAGTTCTGCAGACAGTGATAACAGAGAGAAAAACAACAGTGAGAGTCCACATTCATCTCCTATGCTTCAGTACACTGGGGGGGTTTGTTTTGGGTTGGTCCTTGGGGATTTTTTACTTTTCTGGTTTACTGAAGAGAAAATATACGGAGAATAAAAGCCTGCAAGCTGGTGTAGTAGAATAACATCTAGAAGGCTCTAAGCATCAGTGTGAACTGATTTTACAAGATTTCAGAGCTCACTGGGAAAAAAATGGGCTGAAGAGGTAGTAATTGAGAAAAAATGAAGCAGAATGCTGGGAAGAAAACAAACTTTGTTCCCAGAAACCAAGAACTGGGAATAACCGAGGCCTACCAAGGTAACCTAAAACCACAGCTGCCACTACATAATAAAACCTATTTTTCCATGTTGTAATCTTTGTTTCTTACTTTTATAAAACCCAAACCAAACAAGAAGAACAAACCAAACCAAAACCAGAACCATCTACGGGGTTTTAAGTCAACACACATCAAGATCAGCTGCAGTCCCAAAGGGAATCCTCGTAGCAACCGAGCTGAGCTGGGCTCCCTGCGACACACCACGGCCAGGACTGTGGGGACACTGACTCAGGGCTGCTCTGAGAACCAGACTGGCACTCCCAGGACAGCCTTGCACTCAACAAACACTCAGCACTGATCACCACGTCCTCAGCACTTGGGAGTGAAGCCTCCACAGGGATGGTGTGGATCTACAGGCAGCTCAAAGCATGCCCGTGGCTCCAGGTGGGACACAGCAACCTGCAGAACTCCTGCAAGAGACCTGAGACAGCCAAACCCACCTCTGATGCTCCATTTCTGTGGTTTCTGGCTCACTTTGGGGTTCAGACTATCTGGGTATCCGTGCAGTGCCTAGCAAAACAGAGCTGTCCTGAGCAGGGCCTCTGGACAGCACAGAAATGTAAATACTACTCAAGAACAAATGAAATTCAATATAAACCCTCCTAGACTGACAAGAGCTGGCATCCAAAGAAACCAAGGAATGCAAAGTGTATCAGGGTTCATTTTGGGATACAGAATGCTGTAGATTAACACAAAAGCACAGAATGTCCTCAATGCACTTTTCCTGTAAAATTTGTGCACATTTAAATGAGCCCCTATAATTAATGCTGTGAGAATCTGTTCTTAAGCCTTTTGTAAATAAGTGGCCTTATCTTAAAAAGCAGCCCATTGTGCCTTCCCTTTTTTTCCTCTTCTATTAAAGGCTACTAAAAATGTTTATATTGTGAAAGATTAATTAAAGAAAAATCAGACTCTTTATAGACTTTACTCCTATTAAACCCTGCCTGGCATAATGTAAATGATGCTAAGAAATCTACAGTGAGAAATTAAGACTGTTTGCTCTGATTTAACAGATTGTCTTATAGAGCAAAACCTCCTCTAAACTCTGGACATTTCGTAGGGGAATTTACATTTTACTGAGTTCCTGGATCTAATCATAACTTGAAATTACTACTTCTCAGGAAATAACTCCAAGATCAGGGAATTTACTGGGTTGAACACGCAGATCAAATGCTGAAAATCAAGATGCTGCAAGAGAAGAAAAAGAAATATATACCAATAAAACCCAACACTGCTGATTCTGCCCACACAATATTGCCTGCTTCTCATGCTTAAGCATAGCAATGTATGTTAAATACATACATGCACACTCACACACTTTTGGCCAAAAAAACGAGGTTGCCAATCCACAGGTGTCCAGTCCAGCACCTCAGGCAGCCCCTGAGTGCCAGAGCCAGGACCACTGAGTGCCTGTGACCAACTCAGGGCCTGGAGTCTGCCCAGGCCATGACCCTGGGCCCACACAAAGGTCAGAGCTGCACAGAATGCCCAGCTCTGCACGGTTATGGGGTCTGTGCTAGCACTCTGCAGTGGGACTCACACACTGTAACACAAATGTGTCTGTCTGAGGGCAGAGCTGCTCAGTTTCACCCTTCTGTCAGCTGGGAACTCCGGAGGAAGGAAAAGGGAGCTCCCCACGTGTTCCGTGCCAAACATCACACTGAGGGCTGCTGTCACCCCCCTTTGCAAGTCACCTGCAATGAACTGACACCAAAGGCTGTTTTGTAAACATCAGGGTGAATGAAGACAAAGGCCGGTGAGAGCCACGTAAAAATGTTCTGTTTAGCAAGAAAATTCCCAAAGGAAGGAGATGCTGCTTCCTGGGCCTCTCTGAAAGCCTGCTTGGGGAGTTCAGGTGCACAGCTGATCCCAAATGCTCCGTGGGCAGCAAAGGGAGCTGCTGGCAGCCTGTGGCTCACACATTTCGGGCATGACCTCGTTATTTACTACCACTTTTCATTGCTGTTGCAGTGCTTTAAAAACCCAAGCTTGACATCATTTTGATACTATGTACCTTTCATAATTACTTAACGAATACAAAGCACTCAACTGGAAGTTATAAAAGAAACCATCCCATCCTCACAACTCCAGTGAGAAGGGAGCACCATCACATGTCTTTGTATCCCAACACACACACCAAACAGTTCTGCTGATTTACAGTGGGCTTCTTTCTCTGAAGGGAAGGCCAAACCTAATGTCACTTAAGCAGCATTGTTTGAAATGAACTACATAACAGCAGTTACTGCAGAATTTTCCTAATGAATTTTGACTTTCAAAGACATATTTCCTTCTATTTAATAGCAGAGATATATCTTATATAATGCAGAACCATTAAATTATCCATACTCCAATTTTATATATATATATCTATATTTAAAAAAGAACTTAAAGTGATTGAAGACATTGCTTTATCTATAGGGAAACATCTATCTCCATCAATCCCAATTACCTTAAAACATCTGCAAAAATCAATTCATACTGGAATTTCAGGGATTCCTTGAAATATCAAATTTAATGTTACAACTTTTTTTCTATTTGATCATACAAATCCAAATCAAGTTTAAGCAATGATTACTTATCAATCCATCCAAAGCAAGTGAAGGTTTCTCTTCCAACAAGCAGCTGTCATCATGTACAATTGATAATTTAGTCTTGTTTTGAAGCTACTGTTTAAATAACCATTTGGTGTGTAACATCGACATAATCTGATTTAATCCAGCCTCTGAACTCTCCTAGAAGTTACTTTTACACCTACATTTTTACTGCTCAAATGAAACGCTGGCCATCACTGAGCACCCTATTTCCCCAGCAAGAAAGAGGCCAACATTCAACTCCCGTAGGATCCTAGGGAAGAACAAACAGCACATGGAAGTGGGCCTCAGAAGAGTGAGGACAACTCTACCCAAACCCTGTCCTAGGCAGCATTCTGTGCTCCACTCTGCTGGAACAGGATTTGCAGAGTGCAACCAGGAAAAATGCCATGTTTAAGATCCAAGATAGTTAAACTTCCCTCTAATCACAAACTTCAGCTGGTAAGTTGTTTCAATTCCTCAGCATCCGTACAAATGGTGGTTTTTTCGTCTTTGTTCACGAGGCAGAGCTCCTGAGAAGCCGGGAAGGTACCTTGGCCGCCACGGAGCGCAGGTTCCAAGGGATACACGAGGCCTACAGGGAATTTGGTGCCCCAAACGCTCCCGATTGCGGCGGCAGCGGGGGGAACACCTGCTGTATCACCCCTCCGACCCTGCCGGCAACACTCGTCGGGAGGAAACTTCGGGAGGGAGCCAGAGACCACCCCCAGAGCCAAACACCCGGCAGCAGCTTCCCAACCGAGCCGAGCCGAGCCAGGCTCCTCCAGGCGCCGCTTCCCTCACAGCTCCGGGAGAATCGGCGCCCGAAAAGCACCTGCCCCGCGCACCGAGGCCGGGCACAGCGAGGGGGAGGCACGATCACTCCGAGCCGCCTTCGCCGCCGCTGCTGCTGCCGGTTAAAGGGGACCCAGCCCAGGCCCGGCTGCCCCGGAGCGGCTCCGGCAGCCCCTCAGCCCGGCCAGGCCCCGCCGCGGCTGCCGGGGATGCGGATCCCGGGGGAAAGGGGGGATGGAGCGGGGACACGGCGGCGGCAGGCCCGCCCCAGGCCGCGGGGAAGGAAGGGGGAAGGAAGCGGCGAGCAGGGCATGGAGGGAGCTCCTCCATGGCACGGGAGAGAGGGAACCCCGCGGCCGGGAGGCCCGAGGCGGGCGGGGAGAGGCGAGGAAGGAGGCGAAGCGGGGCTGTAACCCGGTGCAGAGGAGGGTCCGCGGGGTCCCGGCCCGGGGGGAGGGAAGCGGGGGAGGGCGGCCGCACTTACTCTCATTTAACACCTCCAGCAGCTCGGCGCAGCTCTCACACATTGTTCATTAACAGCAGCAGCCGCCGCCGCCGCCTCCTCCCGACCATTGATTGATCCGCTCGGTGCTGCTGATTGATGATTGATGGGGGCCGGGGCGGGGGTCACCGGGGAGAGGCAGGGGCCGGTCTGGGATCCGGGGCGGCTGATCAATGCAAATGAGCCTGTGGCGGCGGCGGCGGCAGCGGCGGGGGGGGGGGGGGGGAGGAGGAGAAGCCGAGTCACTCACTGGCTCCCAGGGACTCCACGCGCCGCCATTTTGCTGAGGGGGAAGGAGGAGGAGGAGGCGACGGGAGCGAAGGGGGGGACAGGGCGCTCGGGCGCCGCTCGGCAGTTTCCGACCAGGCAGGAGGAGGCGAAGGTGGCCGAGTCCCTCCTCCTCCCTTTTCCCTCTCGCCCCGCCTTCCCACCGCGGTTCCGAGCGGCGGGATGGCGAGCGGGGAGGAGGAGGCGAGGGGGCGGGAGGGTAAAATGGCGGCGGTGGCGGTTGGGCGCGCGCCCGGGGAAGGGCGGGAAGCGCCTCTCCCTGCCCTCTCCCTGCCCTCTTCCCGCCTCCCGCGGCCGGGAATCTCCGCCAGGAACGCGCGCACGCCGCCGCTCTGACAGCGGCGGGGGAGCGGCTTCGGCTGCCCGCCCCTTCCCTCGGTGCCTGGAGCCGCGCTCGCCGGGCTGCCTCGGGGACCTCCCGCCTGAAGAGAGCGCTTAGCACGCTAAGCCGAGCTCCGTGGCGAGGAAGCTCCCAACTTCCAGGCGCGTTTCCAGGTCTTTTGGGTGGTTTCTTGGCGTTTTCCGCCGGCGGGGCGCGGGACGGAAGGGCCGCCGCCATCTCCTTCCCGCGCAGCGCGGCTGAGGGCAGCGGGCGCTCCTGTGGGCGCCGCCGGCCCGCACCCGGGAGTGGGCTTGTGGAGGGCTACGGTAGCGTTTTCTACTAATAACTAATTAGTTTTCCGCCCCGGTTTGTTGGGGGGTGGGTTTTTGGTTGGCTGCTTTTTTTTTTTTCTTTTTTTTTTTTTTTCCCGTTCTTGCACCATGATTTATTCGGTGCAATCAGTGATGGCATCTGTGACTGGCTGGAAATAGCCTTTTCTAAATAAAAGGCACGGTCAAAATGAACGCAGAGCTTTAATTGAGGTACATAATTTATGCTGTTACAACTAGCAGTTAGTTCACTCTGCCTTATGTGCGTTTTGAACGAGGTTTAAACCCCTGGATGACAAATTTTCAGGCAAACATCTGTGGCTTTTTTTTTTTTCAATTTGCCATGTCTCAGTCCTGCTCCCTCTCCCAGGTACATGTAACTGGAATATGGATCACACGATGGATCTCGGCTGGTTTTCCCCCACAGCAGGCACTTCCCGAGGATGAAGCGCTATTTTTTATTTCTGTAGTACCACCCAGTGGCGAGTGCTTGTGTTACTCCGAGCGCTGCGAGTTCACCGTCCTGTACACGGGATTAAAAACCCAAATCTATTAATGGCCGCAATGCAGATGCACTATAGTTTAGTGGAAAGTCAAATAGAATCACCAAACGAGGGGGAAGAAAAAAAAAAAAAGTTGTTTTGAATTCCTCTGTGGCTGTCTCGTATTTCTTCCACTTGAAATAAATCTGCTGGCATGGTGGATATGCAGTTCTGGGGTTTTTTTAATTCTGTGTGTATATTTATCCAGGCTGATAACAGCGTGGTGGCTGTGTGTGTAACCTCCCACTGCAGGCCACAGAGTGCTCAACTCCAAACAATCCTCGAGGCGTCACTTTGTTAACCCGAGATTAAAAACCCCACTGCTGCTCAAAAGTAAGAGACAATTTACTGTAAACAACAGGTAGGGAACAACTGCAGTGCAAGAATGATGTTTCACCCAGAGTTCTTGTCACTGCTTGGTTTTGAAATACTTTCCAAGTTAGGCTTATCAACAAAGATAGCTATTCCTAAATATTCCCTGCGGAAATTTCCTTTTACTATTTTAAACTAATACAGAAAATTAACTTGAGTCTACAGGAGACACAGATCCCTTGTCACTTTAATTCACATAACATTAACATGTATTTGCATTACATGCAAATGTATTTCAAATGGGAATAACAAGGGGTAGTAGTACAAGAGAGAGGTTGAAGACTGTGACTAAAAACCTAAAAACTTCCCTGAAACTTTTTACTGATGTTTCTCCTTGGATTTAATTTATAGATGTTTTAATTCCTGTCTTTTCTAAATTATGTATTTTCTGTTGATAGAAATCTGACCAGCACAAGCTAGTAAGCTATTAAACTACTTGGTTATGTCACTAAACCTCCATAATAATAACAACTATTTAATAGCTAACTGGTTTAGTTATTAAAATGACACAGATGTACTGGACCCTGTAAAGCCTTTTTTGGTTGTTTCATCTCTTCCAGCTAGCCTGAGAATTCGTAATGGAAGAATAAAAGGAGTCCAGGACATGGCAATTATGTTCTGCTGCTGCCTGAATTAATGTAGTGTCCACCTTTCTCTTCTACATCATGGATTTCAGAGCCCAAGGTCCATCAAAAGGTAGATCAGAGGATTTTATGTGGTGCATCTACACGTGAGTTTTCACTTCATGTTGTGCTGCCTCCCTTCTGTGTGTCCAAGAGGATTTCAGTTCCTGTAGAACACCTCACTCTACAATCTCATTGTCTCATTTGAAGTTTCAGTTTTCTCTCTGCTCTCTTCCTCAAGCAGTAACTTTTCCAGCAGACTCCAAAGGAACTGCCAGATCATCTTCAGAGATGGCTTTCCTGGGCGATGAGGAAATCCAGACAGGAACCAGCAGTCAGCTGTCTGATCTGAGTGCAGCCCCACACAAACACCAGAGTCAGCAGCAGGGACCTTCTGGAGCCTGGTGTCACATGCCAGGCTCAAGGAGCACAGCACAAGAGCATGGGTGACCTTGAGTCACTCCTGCTTTTGAGCAGAACAGGATATTGAAAGCCTCATTCCTTTTACTGCACACTTTTAATTTTTTTTTTAAGCTGGAGACTAAATTGAATTCTTTTAAATTAAATTAAATGTTGGCTTGCAAGCTGCAGACAAGACCTGTCAGTGGCCTGGTTACAGAGATCATCAGCCTCCTGCTCTTGCATGCTTGTTTTTCCTCTTAACATTTATTCTCTCTGTGTGCCAGCCCAGCAAGGTTGTTTTATCCCCAGGAGGCCTCTTCCCCTCCCCTGGCTGCAGTGCTCCTCATCTGGGAATATTTGCTCTGGTAAAATGCCAGCACAGTTCTTCTGCAGGAGTAACTTAGATAAATGCAAGACTTGGGCAAAACTAAAAGCCTTAATCCAAGTTTGGGACTGGATTAAGAGCAAGAACATGAATTTTCAAAATTCATGCCCCAACACTGAGCTAGCAGTTTAACTGGAGTCCAGTTCAATCTCTGACCTCGTGTCTGGAATGCTGCTGGAAGCCACAAGCATCAGAGTCAGTTTTAAGTGTACCCACATTTAAGTTTCAGCACTTTACTTTCATTGCTCTTTCAGCATTGCAAACTTTTTAGCAGGGTCCATGTCTAACTAGGCTTTGCTGTCACAGCATCATTAGAAGACAAATCCAAATTGATTTACCCCAGATAATACAGAATACTCAAAATTTGGCCACGAATATCTTGTAGGTACAGACAAGGCATTGCTGAGCATGAGAGACTGCCACCAGACTCTGAATCACTACCAAGGTGGTCCAGACACTTCTTTTGCACTTCTTTTGAACATTTGGACTTTTTAGTGGTGAAACACACATTTGCAGTGTTCCTTTGGGGAGCTTTCCTCTCTGGTTAGCAGTGTCCCTGTTTCAATAACCAGCAGTGGGGTAGGAAGGGGGCTGGAGCCTGCTCTCCAACACAGGACAGAAAATTTTAACTCCCCTCCCCACTCCAGTTGCTAAATAGCCTCATTCTTGCTGATAATCTTTGCTGAAATCACAAGATCCACAAAAGGCTGCAGACTTCAAGGCTCAGGAAAAGCTGAGACTGTTGAAAAGGATTTAAGATGGCAAGGGTGTTCACAACCTAAAAACAGGCACCCCATACTGATGTGAGACTGGGAAGAGAGTACCCGAGAAATGACCCAGGGAAAAGTGCTGGGTGACTTTTATTTACAAGGAGTAAATAAAAAGGAAAATCTGAGTGTGTTTTCTTCCATAATCTTAACCTCCAAAATACTGCTTCCTCCTCAATCCCCTCTTTCCCTGTACAGACTTAAAACACAAAGCAATGTGCTCACAGGTTTGTAGGTGTAAAATCTGGGACTTTGAGGTAGTTGAGTGCACTGTACATGGGATAATGACCCAAAAAATGATTCCCCACAGGAATGGCTGAGCCTTTCCCCAAGGGAACCCTGCTGCCAGGGACAGCCTTGGACAGTGAGGTGAGGACGTAATGCAGTTGAAAGCCTAAAAATGAATTCAGCCTTGAGGATTGAAGTGCAGAGGTGCATTCCTGGTGGACAGGATTATTCTTTACAGGTTTTTAAAGGGCTGGCTCCAGCATTCCAGTTCTGCTCCGTAACACCAGGAGACAAACCTGGCAAGGGGGAGAAGGAAGTTGAGCCACACTTTCCAGCACCCCAGGAGTCTGGGACCAGTAATGATCATTTACCCAGTGATAAATGGACTAGGACAGGCTGGTCCCTCACCTCAGGCAGTTTAATGCATCATCTTCAGCATTTTTCTCCCTTTAAGCTGAAGTTTTATTGCCTTTCCAGTGCTAAAATCTATCAGCAGTAACTCTTAAAGCTTCCTAGAGAGATGAGCATTTTTAAAGCTTTTTTTTTTTTGCATAAATATTAGCTTTATTGGAAAATAGTTCACTTAAACCAATCAGTTAACACACACCAAATTATTCTAGTTAAAAAAAAAACCAAAACCAACTAACCTAAAATGCTTTGGAAGATAATCTGCTTCAGTTACAGTAGCAAACACATCATGGCAGCCTGAAACAAGTACTTGGGGTGTCTTCATCAGCTGACAATCAATCCATGTAAACACAGAAAACACCCCAAAATAGTTGTATTCATCAATGTACCTGGAGTACACAGAACTGGTTTGTTTTTCGGGTTCTTTTTTTAGTAAAATCTGTATAGAAATATGCACAAAACATTGGTTTACATATAATTACAAGTTATGGAGATGTTTATATGATGGTTCATGCTTTTTATCCATATATTTTGATTTACAGAGTGTGCATTAGAACTTTCTTAGATGTACATTGTCTTTTTTTTTTTCACATTCAGGATAACTGCACTAGAAATATGCACACACACAAGTCAAATCTTTAATGGTATCCAGAACTCTACAGAAGCTGCATTTTTATAGCAGCTGCAGAGATCAGGGAAAGGCACCAATTATCTTAAGAGAACAAGACAAGACCACAGTTAAATTTTTAGATCTAAAAGGGAAGCAAAACCTAAGATTAGAATGTTGTTACTAGAGAACTCTTAAGGTATCAAAATAACCAAACAACTCTTCTTTGAATCAACAGAAAAAATACATTTTGGACTGGTTTGCGAGTTTAGGTCACATTTAAATCTTCAGTGAACAAGCAGCCTTGAAGGGAAGGAAGAGCACAAACACACGTGTGTATTTCTGCTCTGAATGCAGAGTCAGAACAATTCAGAGCTCTGACTCCCGGGCTGTGCTCTGCCAGCACCTGCTGCTGGGTTCATTTCCATTTTAATGCCCTTCTCTCGCTTCTCTGCACAGCTTTTGCTGAGCTGCAGCTCTGCTGCCTGCTCACCAGCCATTGCATGTCCTTTCCAGACGTGTCCCTGACAGGACTCAACTGCTGCACTGCAAACTGCCCAGTCAAGGCACTATTGCCTTGAGGGTTCTGCTGATGGGAAGACATGACAAAGCTGGAAGTGGGAGCTTTAAGGAGAGTAAGAAGTGGGTTCTGTGACTCTGGCAGTACTTTGGGAGGCTGTAGGCAGTCCCAGCCATGGGGGTTTCAGGAGGTCTCCAGGCAGGGCCAGCTCAGTGCCACTGCCCAAGGCCCTTCCTGTGGGACGGGCTGAGCTGAGCACACAAAAGGAACAGGAGATGCTCCCAGACACAGGGGCAGAGCCCAGCCTGGAGACATCCCGGGCACAGCTACATCCTGCAGGAACACCACTAACTCATGCACAGGAACACACAGCACTAAGCTACCAACCACAGCACCCCGAGGGGCACACGACAGCCCCACGCCTGCCTGGCTCCTGTGACAGCTCTGACAACGGCCACACTTCATCCCAGTCACAGCCTGGAGACAGACTGGACACCCAATCCAGGGAGAAACCTGGGCAGAGCTCCACACTGACTGCTAGAGGACAGAGACAAGACACCACAGAGATGGGGAAGCCAAGACTGTACACAACCTTAGTGTTCATACTGCTTCATAGATCTGTGAAAATCATTTAACTACAAAACTTTAGGTAGAAAAATAACCGTAGATCTTGTCTACACATGTTATTAACACGGACTATTATTAACTGTTTAGTCAAGATACAGTGCAATACCTCTTTGAAATAAATTGCAAAGAGTCCAGAGAGAGAAAGAGCAAGAGTACCTCATTCCTGGCATTTTATAGTAACGTGGTATGGAATAGTTATCCACGGAGGTAAGTCAGAACAGCTACTGTACTTCCAAATGGAACCCAACTTAGTTCGTGGTAACTTCAAGCACAACCAAAGTCCTTGAGATGAGGCAAGCCAGAAGCAAGAGTTATCTAGACCTCAAGGAACTTTTCCTACGCCTTCAAATACAAATCTTAAATATGATCACAGCATTTTCATCCAATAAAAGAATAAGCCAAAGAAAGAAAAATAAATGTAAACCAAGTTTATTTTGCTCTTAAGTAGTGTTCTTTAAGCACTACAGCATGGTAAACAATGTAAATTAGTATAAGTCATCTCAAAAGCCAGTTTTTTTTTTTTTATTTTATGAGTTGTTAAAAAGATGCAGCCTATTCTAACAGGATAAATATTTTAACCATTTCACTTCGAGTTAATGAAGGCTCACAAATGAGCAACACTCCTCATTGAGGAAAACAAAAAGCTGTTGTCGACAAAGCGACAGCACACACACAAAAACAAAAGAACTGTGTAAAAATAACTAACTGTACTGTGTTCCCATACTCTTTAGAAGTTGCTTTACAATGGGATGATATGCACATGATCTTGCTGCAAACTTGCCATACAACTTGCAAATACACGTAGCCTATAGCCTTACCACTCAGTCCAGAAAGCTGCTAACTGATCAGAACAAACGCAGCACTAGGATCCTCTGCTTAACAATTAATTCAGTCTGCTTTACTCTTTACTTTTTCTCCTAGACTGCAGGACAGACTAGAAAGAAAATGACTCCGAATTAAAAATCGATACTCTTACAGGAAATTGTATTATTTTGCAATATAGTCTTTTACAAGTTACGCTTTGCCTATTTTCCCCTTAGCCACAAAATGGGCATGAAGTAATTACTTTGAAAATGCCTTAATTTTCAACTTCATGCAAATCTAAATAAAGATGACCAAACAAAAGCTTAAACAATGGAAGGATATTTCACAGAAAATTTCTTATACAAAAAACACATAAGAAAAAGGGCCACTAGGTGACATTTTAATTTACAAATTGGCATCATTTTGGTCAACAAATATCCAAGTGCTGTTTTCTTCTATCACAACAAAGTAGCTGTACAGAAAGAAAACTGCAAAACTTGTTTTATTTTTGTTTTAATCGCACATCTCCTCGGGAATCTCATGTGGATTAAGGATGCCAGGTACAGACATCTGAAGTTTATGCTTCTCCTCTTGAGCCTGCCGAAGGGCTGTTTCTCTCTCCTCCAAGAATAAGTCTGATGTGTCTTCACCTGCAAATTCCTGGGGTAATTCACATAAGAACATCAGTTTATTGTCAAGTGCTTCAGGCAGAGTAATAGCTTCCAAAATTACACAGGAAACATGTTCCCTTCCTGTCAAGAACATCAGTTTATTGTCAAGTGTAATAGCTTCAGGCAGAGTAATAGCTTCCAAAATTACACAGGAAACATGTTCCCTTCCTGTTCCCTGACAGGTGACTTGCGTGCTTTTCTGTCCCTAAGGTCACAACTAATATAAAGCAAAATTTAAAGATGTTCACCGTGTGTTACAGAATGGGATGCAGAGCCCAGCATCTGGAGTCTATCACCATTAAAGCAGAATCATTACAATTCTGAAATACCTGACAATTGCAGTCTCAAAACAAATTAACAAACTATTTCCTACAATCTTATCATTCTAACATCCTTAGAAAAAAAATAAAGGCATAGCATTAGTGTAGTGAATTTCAAAACTGGTCCCAATTCCAAGCAGAATGAAAAAAATCTGGTTTAAAACACCCCTATTTCCCATTAGATTAGTTCTGCAGTTGTTTCAACTTCAATTTGTTTTCAATTTCACACCTATTTCCCACCAGATTTAGTTTTGCAGTTGTCCTAAGACACAAGGATTGTGTGCACAATGTAGAACACAAGCAATGATGTTCAAACCCAATTTGTGAACTGAAATCCCAGTGAAATCATGAACACGACCCAGTCACAAGCCATTGGCCAGAGTTCTCACTGCATTTTAAAAAGATGCAAAATAACTTCTATTTCTCAAACAAGCACTGACTCCACACTGTCCAAAAGCTTTCCAACCCTATCCTGCTGAAAATTATTTTTAATTTCTTCAGAAAAGCA